ACGTTCTTAGCGCACACTCCTCTCCACCTTTCCTGTTCCAGTCATAACTTCAAAGCTCCCTATATCTAACAACTTTAACCCCAACTGGTCCATGACCTAAATGTAGATGAAGTTACGATTAGCCCCACTATCCACGAAGGCCTCCAGTGGCTGCTCCCTGATCGGCCCCCTACCTTCATTGAATGACTTTAAGTAAATCTCACTATTGAATTGAGGGACAGTTTCTCCACATCAAGGTGTAAGTGTTTCACACCCGCTTCTACTTCCTCCATCGAATCCTCGCTGACGGTCTCCTCCTCAACACAAACCATAAGGACCTGGAGTATGAAGTCTTTGCAGCGATGGCTCGATGTATATTTTTCGTCTCAACGGAAGCACAGTCCCTTCACTCTCTTGTCCTACACCTTAGCCTCCATGAGGCACTTGAAGTTGGCCCCAAGGCGAACCCTCCAACTCTTCTCCATTGGCATATCCCACTGAAATGACAACATCTGCATCCGTGGTACTAGTGAAGTTGAAATACTTCTATAAGAGCCTCCTACAACCCCGCTCTTATTGATCCTCTCCATCTGTCTCCAATCCTATGATATCTGGGCTAACTGCATTGTCTCCTTTAACCTCCTCGGTCTCAACTATCGAAGGTTCTCTTGTACCTCCCCGACAACAACTCAAATCTCTCCCTATACTCCATGACGCCACCCTCCTAAGTCAATGCAAGGAATTGCTCGTATAGGTCTCCTTCTTGAATGGCTCGAAAATGTTTCAAGAAACAATCCTTAAACTCCTCCCATGAACACATTGAATATCTAGCCTCCCTCCACTAGAACAAAGCAAGGGTTTTCCCTTGCAAACATAACCCTACGGTTGTAAGCTTCTATTCCTCTATCAACCCATTAACCGCAAAATACCTCTCTACCTGATATACCCACCCATAGGCATCCTCCCCTTCGAATACCGGCATCTTCAAATTCCTCACACTAGCATTTCCACCCCAATTTTCTCTCCTACCAACGGTTCCCCCCAAGTTCAAGGGTGTGAATCCTCTATACCTTTTCTCCATCCGTCTCATATGGCTCGACTCGGCTCATCCCTCTCCTTCTCTGATTATCCATTCCGCTTACCCAAAAAACCTCCCGTAGTAGTTGAACACCCCAGCATTTCTACCACAAAACTCCCATCCTTCTACCCCCCATCCAGAAACCCTATTTTGCCCCTTATCGGAGCCCTACAAGGTGGCTCATAATGAAAGAAACTTTCGTCATCGAAATCTTCTTATCCGATATCTTTTCCCTTAAATTCGGCCAAGGGGATCCCGACCACATCGTCGTGAGGGTCAGCAACCAGAAACACTGGTGGAGTTTTAGATTGCATCTCAATGAGCTTCATCATCATCTCCTACATTCCTCCAAATTGACCTTCCATGGTGGTAAACCTTCCTTCGATGGTTGATAACATTTCCTCCATCCCAAATTTGATCTGCTCCAATTTAACTTCCAACACATCCACCTTTTTGCCGCCATCTCTCCAAAATCTGGCTCTGACACCAATTTGATGGGTCTTGAAAGTAAAAACAACAAAATGAATCAAGTAGAAACTACAGGAATACGATGCTAGGGACTGATTTTGATTATCTCTTCAACAAGAAAGAAAGATACAAGTGATCTACTATTGAAGAGGTAGATCGGCTTTTCCACAAACCCTAAACATCGCTAGAAAACTCACAAAGAAAGCCACAGCCGAAAACAAATTGCATAATCTGAAAATAACACAGTTGCCCTAAATAGGATCCCCTAATTTCCTCCCAAATCATCCCCCTTTCGTTAAATAATTTCCTCTCAAATTTGAAATCAAATTGGATCTCTTTCCAGAAATAATCCCCTTCCAATTCAAATTAAAATATTCTCAAATATCTCTCCCTCGATTTCTCCTTCTTACATATTGAATTACAGCTTTGTTGGGCCCCACAAGGAGGGTTGAACCCCCTTCCCTGCTCTGCTAGCTCCTGCCCAGCTTTTCTCCTGGTCTGGGCCTTGCATTTGGCTCCCGTTATCCAGCGGTGTAACAATAAGAACATCCATGAATTTATCGCCCAAAGTCACAATCTCTCCATTAGATTTAAACTATAAAAAATACACTCCATATATTTAGTTTTAGATCTACTCCAACAAAAACCTTTAGACTCTAAGATTGACCTCCACAACTCAAGCTTTCATTCAATTATCTTGCTAGTCTTATTAACAAGAACAATATCATCAGCAAAAAGCATACACCAGGAAACTTCCTCTTACAAATGTCTAATAAGAACATCCATGACCAAAGGAAAAAGATATGGGATTAAAGCTGAACCTTGATGTAATCCAACTGAAATAGAAAAATACCTGGTTAAATCATCTTATGTTTGAATACAAGTAACAGCTCTAATATGCATACCCTTAATAACTTGATTATAAGCATTATTAACAAATTAAAAAAAAAAGAATATAAGCATTATTAACACATTTCTTTTGTAGAACTCTTCAAAGCACTGCTTTTGGAACTTTATCACATTCTTTCTCTAAATCACTAAATATCATATGTAGATCCTTCTTATTCTCTCTATACTTTTTTGAACTAAATTATTACTTCTCCTATATTTTTGCTTTGCTAACTTATGCATAGATCTTTCACCCAACTTACTATCTAATTTATTATATAAATCATTAAAAGCTAAATTATTTATATCATATATTGCTTTCATAAGCTCCTCACAGACCATTTTATATATTTCACAATATTTTAAGTTTTTCCATCTAAACTAATTTTTATAACAAAACTTCTTATTTTTCAATCTTTCCTTACATATTTTAATTCCACCACTAATTACTTTTAATATTATAAGCTTTTTATTTTGATACTTCAAACACATCCTTTGCAACAATTTTAATATTACTAGCAACTTTTTCCACTAACATTAACTTCTATATGCTCAATCAAAATCTTAAAATCGTGAATCTTACTCTCAAAAATATTTTTATTAGTGGTCACATAAAACGTCGGCCTGTGATGACCCGATTAGGAGAGTAGATGTATTAGATATGGCCTATGTTAAAAAAGGTAGAGGTACATCAAAAAAAACTTTGATTAGAAAATATTAGAAATAATCTTTTTTTATTAGATTTAAATGAGAATTTGATTCTTAATAGGACATAATGTAGAAAAAGGATTCATATAGCCGACCCCACGTAGTGGGATAAAGGCTTGATGATGTTGAAGTATTCTTTAAAAGCCACCATCTAATTCTAAGATAATATTTTATTTTATTTTTGATAGTCCACACCTTCACACTAAAGTCCAAAATTAATAAGAGATGCTGGTACATAAACTTTCACATATAAAAATATTATAATGTTTGCAATCTTAATGATTTATTTTACTTGTAAGAAAATAATCAATTTAAATTTTTCTATATTCATTCTTATAAGTGATGAGATGCTCATCTCTTATCTTAAATAAAGAATTAACAATTATAAAATAAAAAGCTATAGCAAAATCTAATATGATCCTATCACTTTTATTAAATGCTCTAAACATATAGCCATCACGAATGTTTTCAAAATCTTTCACTACTCTACCAACATATCATTTAAATCTCCTTCAATAAAAACTCTTTCTTCAAGAGGTATCATTTATATTAATTCTTCTAAATCATTTTAAAATTTTAATTTCGAATCTATATCCAAACCAACTTGAGTAATATAAACAATTCTAATATCAATAATCTTAACATCAACAATAACTTTTAATGTTATAATTTTATCTCAAATTTTAATAATTTTTATAACATTATCCTTTAGACTCTTTTTAATAATTATATCTTTACTATTTCTTGTATTAGTTCTACCTAAATACTATAGTTTAAATCGTAAACTATCAATCTCATTAGCATTCTCTCCAAACTCATTTAGTTTTCTGAATATATATAATATTTATCTTCTCACGAATCATAATATTTATTAATTTAATTAATTTGCCTGTAAGAGAACCTATATTCTAAGTTCACATGCTAATTCTAATTTTATAGACTAGCTTCTTTGCTCACATCCATCCATGATGTGGGAACCCATGCTTATTTCACATTGCATCCGGGCGCCGATGCGGTGACTCTTGCACAATTCTTATAGTATTCAGGTCATACACCACGTTACTTCTAGGAAACGCCCTAGCATTAACCAAATCTATTAAAAGATTCATATCATGATTATTCGACAAGCAAAAACATATTGGCATCCATTATAAACATACTAGCTATACAATATGAGATCACCTATAAGCATCCATTATAAACATACTAGCAAAAGCAAGTTCAGTTGTCAAGACAAATGTAATGAAATTTAAATGGTTTCCCCAATAAATAAGTAGATGGGCTTATAGATAAGCACGCCAAGATGACAACAACCTTAAAAACTCAAAATCTGATCAAACAGGCCTCGTTGATATAGGGAAAAGGTGAACTATACTATCTAATCTGAGTTCATATGTCAAACATCTTCAGTGCTAGATGTCAAATAGACGGGAAGCCAGCAATAAAATGCAAATTTGCTAAATCAGCTTATCGGATGTAAACGAAACACAACTCTCCTTGGCCTATTGGTTGAAAGCTTAGGCTTCCAACTAAAAGGTCCAAGGTTCGAGTCCATGTGTATGCGTTGTGTGTGTGAGTTTGCCTTAAATGGCCTAAATGTCCCGGAAAAAAAAAAAAAAATGTAAACGAAGGTTTGATGACAGAAATATTTCACCAAGTTAGATTAACAATAACCATTAAATATTTCGGTGATCCCGCAAGTACATAAGCAACAAAGTACAAGAGATGGATAACGACACGGAAGCTAGTACTATAATAGAAAAATAAAGGAAATAAGCTTGGAAACATAATTATGAAGTCGATCAACTATCCTTCTCGTATCTTAAGACTAATCCAAGCATATTTTTATGAAAATAAAATGGTAAAATACGTTTCATACATGGCGAGAGTGGTGTTATTGCTATTGCTAGTGCTGCGAAGCAGGAATCCAGTCAATTATCTGAACAGGGTACCTATCGATGCAATCCTCCCAAGGCCCCCCCGGGGACTGCTTCACATTCCGGAGCGCCTGCCAAACTGCACTGTTGCACTTAAATCCGCTGCCAAAAGCAATTTGCCAAACCCGGTTGCCTCTCCGCATCCTCCCCTTGGCCTCAATATAGGCTAGCTCGTACCAGATAGAGCTGGAAGAAGTGTTCCCAAATCGATGAAGCGTCATCCTCGATGCCTCAACGTGGATTGGCCGGAGCTGAAGATTCTTCTCTAGCTCATCGATAACTGCCCGGCCTCCGGCGTGGATGCAGAAGTGTTCAAAGGCAAGTTTGAAATCAGGGATATAAGGCTTGACCTTGGAGTTGAACAGCTTCTTGGCTACTAGGGCGGCAAAAAATAGCAGCTGCTCGCTGATGGGGAGAACCAGAGGGCCAAGGGTGGTGATGTTGGTCTTAAGGGCACCCCCAGCTATCGCCATGAGGTCCTTGGAGAGAGAAACCCCGACTTTTCCATCGTCATCTTGCTCCTGATACACGCACCGGAAGGCCTTGTCATCTGCGCCGCGATGGGTGCGCACGACATGGATGAGACGGTACTTGGCACGGCGGCGGTCGGCGGAGCGATTGGAGAGCAGGATGGCGGCGCCTCCGACGCGGAAAAGACAGTTGGGGATGAGCATAGATTTTCGGTTGCCAAAATACCAGTTTTGGGTGATGTTCTCGGTGCTGACGACGACGGCATAGGTGTTGCGGTGGACCTGGAGGAGGTCGCGGGCAAGATCAATGGCGATGACGCCAGCGCTGCAACCCATGCCCCCGAGGTTGAAGCTGAGGATATTGCCGCGTAGCTTGTAGCGATTAACGATCATAGCAGAGAGTGATGGGGTAGGGTTAAAGAGGCTGCAGTTGACGACAAGGATTCCAACATCCTTGGGCTTGACACCAGTGTTGCGGAAAAGCTTGTCGAGGGAGCCAAACATAACCTGCTCGGCTTCGTCGCGAGCGGCGGCCATGGATGGGCGCGGGGGAAGATAGTGCATGGCATCGGGCACATAGGTCTCCTCACCTAGGCCGGATCGCTCAAGGATCTTGCGCTGAAACTCCAGGGCTGACTCGTTGAAGTTACCGCAGAGGCGAGAGTGCTCCATGAACTGCGTGTAGCGGACCTGGAGGTGGTCGGGTGGGCGGTAGCAAGCGTAATCGACGAGATAGACCGTCCTGGGCCGCGTCATAACGTAGACGGTGGTGCCAAAGACTAGGACGGCGGAGCAAACGAGAATGCTCACAAGATTGAACTGGAGGTGGATCCACAACTGCCAGAGATCGTTGGGATCGGTTCGGCAGGCCTCGACAAGGATCACCACCATAACCGGAATCACGAGCAGCGTAAGCAGATGCGTGATTAGATAGTGGTAACCTAGCTTGACGTATTTGAGATTTACGCTCTGCAAGAAGTCCGGCAGCCGCCGGCTCTGCCCCCGCGCCTCCACCGCCGGCGGCCATCCCGGTAAGTCCTTCTGCTCGGCCGCCGACCCTTGCATCTCCTGGCACCAAGGTAACGAATCGGTCTAATCACAAAACCCTCGCCACTCTCCTCCGAGCGAGAGAGAGTGATGATTCTTACTTGTACAGAGGTGGACTCGAGGGGTGGCGGGGTGGAGCTCGGCGGGGTTCGGCGATTGTCTCGTTGGATATTTGGTTTCACACGGCACCTAGGGCGACCATTGACTGACACCATAAAAAAAAAATAAGGGTTAAACAAAGGTAATGGGATGCAATCGGCGCCTGGGGCGTTATTTTCTTGTGCTGAATTCTCAGAGTTTAGATTAACAAGTTGGTTATGGCGATGGGAGGGTAAAGATGCCCGGCTTAGCTTAGCGACGGTGTCATCGCCTATATCAGTGTTGCCGCCCGTGCGAGACGGCCGGGTTGGTTCGGATTTTTTGGGAATAACCGAAGAAGACATTTGGAAAGAGGAAATAAATGGGACACAGCCAAGGCTCCTGTGGCCTCTGGCTGGCTTTGCGTCTCGTGCGATAGATTCAAATATTGTACGCGGTTTCTGATCTGAATGGCATGGTTACCAAACCTGGAGGCTGGGCTGTTGCATTTTGACTAAAAAAAAAAAAAAATTGGGGGAAAATTTGAGGCCTTAGCCCATTTTATTGAAAAATGAAGAAATTACAATAAGAAAAATATCTAGTAACACAATAAACATGTAGCAGACAACAAAACCTTATCAGCAAAAAGCTGCTTAACAAAAGAAACCTATAACGAAATGAAAGAACCCGAAATCGAAAGAACTCAGAATAGCAATAGTCGTATAGAGCTCTCAGGCAGCCAAAATCATCCAAAAGGATGTTGGGGTCCCCTGGTTGCCGAAAGGCCGTCCAAGGGGATGAATAAATTGATTGCGTTCATCATCGTCCTTCAAAAAAATAGTTCTTGGTTGCCAATGGAGACCGTCCAGGAACATTAGAGGCTCGGTAAGTAGCACAGGCATCAACCAGTTAATCTTTCGCCGCTTAAATTCAAAAATCAAAAATTCTGGAGTAGATGAGAGCATTTCCACTTTGAGTTTTGTGATACACAGCACGTTTGATTTTGGCAACAGTAGTGGAGTGACAATCAATCAAATTGTCAAATAATCTGTCATTTCTAGTTCTCCAGATGTAGTAGACAATATCACAAAGTAAGAGAGAGCACATATTCTTCCTGCTTTTATCGATATCCCATTCATCAATACAGTAAAAAGCTTGCTAGATATTTGGACGGAAAAGAATGTTGTTCATACGAGGAAAGACCTTCTTAAGGATATCAAAAGAATAATCACACTCAAAGAAAATGTAATTGTTGCTTTCCCCAATGATCTGGCAGAAGGCACATAAAGGTTTAATCATTATTCCCCTTAAAATCAAGGCATCAGAAGTTTTGAGACCATGCTTGAAAGCCATCCAAGTGTAAATAGAAAAACGCAAAGCATAATGTTTATGCCAAACGAACTTTTACCAAGGAACAGTTTCACAATCCGAAAAGGACTTGTGAAAAGTTTTAAATGAAGGTTTAGCATTATTAGTCCAGTAGCAGTTGCCCTGAGTGTTGGAGATAGGAACATAAGTGATAATGTCAGCCAAATGAGTAGATATAACAGGGGGTAAATTCCATCCCCCATTAGATAGAAGAGAACTAATAGTTAAGTTGTGAGGGCGAATAAGGTAGTCAAGATATTCATTTTTTAGCCTTTCTGCCACAGAAGAACCAAAGCACTAGGGTTCCCAAAAGAAAGAGAGGGAAGAGTTGTCAGTGAGTCTAAATTGCATAGGATCTGGCAGCTTAGTGGCCACCTTGCATAGAAATTTCGAATAAACAGCAGCCGTGGGATTACCAATGTTCCAAAAAGACACATTTGGCTTTCCACCAAAGAAAAAGATAGCTATTAATGTTGTAAATCCCCCACATAATGGAGCAACCAAAAGCATAATACAGAGAGTCAATAGATGGAATGCCCAATCCCCCACAGAATTTAAGCATACAAGTATCCTTCCAAGAGATGATATGAAGCTTTTTCTTGTGAATATCCCCATAGTACAAAAACCTGGAGCAAATGATATTAATCACCTTGCTACAATCTTTGGGAATAAGGGTGCCACTAACCCAATAAGCTAAAATATTATAAATAGTGTGCTTAAGGAATTGAAATCTTCCGGCAAAGGAAAGATTTTATATTTCCAACCATCTAAAGAGCACTTAATTTTATGCAAAAGAGGCTGAAAATCAGATTTTTTAAGTCTCTTGCGGAAAATCGGGATGCCGAGATATTTGATAGGGGAGTTAGCAATAGGGATGTTCAAAGTATTTGAGATGGCCTCCTCATTTAGCGCATTATTAGAGAAGAGAATGGTGCTTTTAGTGCTATTAACATGAAGATTCGATATGCTAGCAAAATCATGTAAAATATTATTGAGAGTTTGAGCATTCTCAATAGTTGCCCTGCCAAAAACTAGCAAATCATCAGCGTATAGGAGGTGGGAAATAGAAACTTTACCAGTCCTAATGCCATGGAAGGAATTGTTGAAATTGGTCTCCTCAAAATAATCAGAGAGACTATCCATAACTATGCATAATAGGTAGGGAGAGAGAGGACAACCTTGTCTAAGACCAGAGGATAAGTTGAAATAGCCTTCAAGCACCCCATTAATAGAAAAAGAAAAGTGGACAATAGTGATACAACCTTTGATCCAAGAAACAAAGGTTGCAGGGAACCCTTTAGTAGTCATTCGATTAAGCAGAAATTCCCTAGAAACTATATCAAATGCTTTATGGATGTCAAATTTTGCACAAAAAGATTTTTTTTTTAGCATTAGAGTTGAAATCCATAAGAACATAAAAAATTAAAAGAATGTTATCTGAAATGATTCTGTCCTGAATGAAACCCACTTGGCTAGGATGGATAATGGAAAGCATAACCTCTCTCATGCTATTGGCAAGAATTTTGGCAATGATCTTTTAAAACAAGTTGCAAAGAGAAATTAGCCTATAGTCAGATATGCTACTGGCATGAGGTATTTTAGGGATTAAGGCAATGGTCGTGGTGAAATTACTAGATGGATAAGAGGGGGGTGAATTGTGAAGATTTATAGCAATAAATAAAACCTAAACATGAGTTCTAATATTTTTGATATTTTTTAAGGTTTTAAAATGAAAATAAAGTGCAACAATGGAATCCTGTTCAATCTGAATATTTCACCAAGCAAATGTACTGAAAATGAAAAATGCACGCAAGAATAAAAATGATAAGGAAAAAGCACACCGAATTTTTATAGTGGTTCGGTCAAACCATGACCTACATCCACTCCTCGGAGTCCTCCGCTTTGGGAATTTCACTACAAGCAATAGCTCTCCTTTTGCCCCCCTTGGCAAGGCGGAGAAGCTCTTACAATACTCCCTTTCACCAACCCAGTTTGACGGAGTGCCAAACTCTGTTTTCACCCTCCTGGCGATGGCAGAGAACCTTCTCGTCTTTCTCTCTCCTAGAGAAGGCAGAGTACCTCGAGGTCACGAATGTAGAAGAGCCTTCCCCTTGGAGATCCTCTCATAAATTCTTCTAGGGCCACAGGAGGAACAAGATGCAGCAAGTTCGGAGCAACCGTGTGATGTCCCTCACACCTCTTCTCCCTCACAACGCTCACCTTTTCCTTCCTCTCTCAAACCCTAAAGAACTTCTCAAGAGCTCTCTCCCTCAGAATCCCTCTCTAACCTCGTTCACCTCTCTAATTCACACTTAGAAAACATAACTATTTTGACACCTAAAAATGGGCTCCATAATCCCTGAAATTTCAAAGTAGACGTTTCTATCATACGGTATGATTTCTAATCGTACCGTACGATATGTATACCAAGCTTCGTCCTTGTACGAAGATGTACGAATAGTTCAAAATCAATCGTACAGTACGATAATGAATCGTATGGTATGATCCTCAATATTACTAATCGTACATGATGATATCCGGGATGATCAAATGTCATCTATGTTCATCATATTGTATGATACATATCATACAGTACGAATGGTCAAAATCAAGGTATCATCCAGGACGAATTCTGGGACGATCAAGAGTCGTCTCTATTCATCATATTGTACGATCTATATCGTATTGTACGATGAGGCAAAAATAATGAATCATCAAGGACGATCTCTGAGACGATCAGAATTCGTCTCTGTTCATCGTATTGTACGAACTGGTTCGTATAGTATGATATTCAATTTAAAATTAAGCCTTGAATTATTACACTAATTACGGGTTAATTTAAGTAAGTATTTAAAATAAATCATACAGTGCGAAATACATCGTACAGTATGAACGGCGAAGAAAAACTTACTTAAGTTAATTTCATGGCTAGGGTTTTGGATTTGAACATATCGTACAGTACGATTATGATTTATACAGTACAATCTATTCACAGAATCATCCTACAAGCTCAAATCATACGGTATGAAATAACTTCGTACAGTACGATCTACAGAGAAAGAAAGTCTCCAAATTTTTCTTTTAAAAAAAACCTTCTCCCCCTGTGTGTGTGCATGGTTGCTCAGACTTTTATGCATTTTGTGGCCATGCTCAAGAAAATAAAAATAAAATAAATAATAAAATACATTATCAGACTCATACTCCTAATCTACCCATTCTTGAATCTTCCTATCGTCCTGAGTAGCTTGTGATCTTCCTGAAATGTTAATACTCACGGACAATAACCAATAATAAATGATATTCAATGAATAGTAAATCAGATGATATTATTTGTCATTATCAAAATCTCAAACTCGGGGTCATGGGTCGCAACAATCTCCCCCTTTATGATGATGTCAAATAATGTTTGTTGTAGGCAAGTTTGAAGAACTTTTTTTTTGAAACAGAAATGCAATAAAAAGGAAAATGCAATACAAGATAAAAAGAAATGCATTTAACCATAGAACAAACTACAACAACCTTCTCCCCCTTTTGACAGCACCAAAAAGATGAGCAAACACCGAGAAAGAGAGAAAAAAATTACAATACAAAGATAATTTAAAGCGGAGGATCCTGATCAGTTTGTGGTGGAGGTGGTTTGGTTGGAAATACTGAAGGAGACGTCAAATCGGTGATCAATAGTGGTGAAGCGTTCCCCAAACCATTGTATGTCAGTCTCGTGTTGCTGATGTTTCTCTTGAATTTGAGTATCGAGACGAGTCTGAAGTTGCTCGAAATGTTCGACAAAATCATCGTGAGGGTGTGCTGGTACAGGTGCTTGGGGTGTTGCATGTCGTCGTGGTCGTGCTTGAGCTGCGGCCGGGGCATCTTCTCCTTCTTCTTCATTAAAGACAGGTTCTTCAGGCTCGTGTCCCCGATGGAAAAGAATACGGAAAGATGCATCCGTATAAAAGATACGAATATTCTTGGGTTCACCAGGATAGGTCAATTGAT